TGACGGAGCGTAGTGGACGTTTACAGGGGTGCATGATCAATGATCAGGTAGAAATATTTTTCTTGCTCTTTTCTGCCTTTTCTTTTTAAACCACCACTACCTGTCAGAGTGGAAGGGTAAGTCGCGAATATAGCGTATACCTAGGCTACCAGACTGGCTTTGGTCACTTGCCGGGCCGGGCCAAAAAAAATAAAAATAAAAATAAAAATAAATAAAAATAAAAATAAAAATAAAAAAAATTAAATTTGGTGATGAATTTCGATGTGACGGGCTAAAAATAATAACAATAATAATAATAATAATTAAATAATAATAATAATAATAATTTAAATTTTTATTTTTTAAATTTTTATGTTAAATTTGGTGACGAATTTCGATGTCACCCTGAGGCAGAAGTTGTTCAGCTTATTTTTTCTGCATAACATAGTTTGTTTTTGGATTTTTTGGCATTGTTTTTTTGTTTTCGTTCTTTTTGCTGGAACCTTCCTTGGTCCTTGCACGGACTGCCCACCCGGGCCCCGGGCGTCCCGGCTGGTAGCCTAGGCGTATACCGCATTCTTCTGGTACACTCTACCTGCGACCGGGGGACCAAAAAGGGTGGCGGCGCCAGCCAGAACAAAAGAAAAAAGGCTGCGCTGGCGTTTCGACAGACCTTGGCGCGCAGTTCAAGTTCTTCTCTGCCTCGGTGGAAAAAAAAAAGGCTTCGAGAAGTCGGAGGTTGTGGCGGGTTGAGGAATTTCTGGTGATCCTTGGGTGGAAGTTGTTTGTATTGGAATTTTGCAGAACGTATTCTTTTTGCTTTCGTGGAAAGTTTTCTTCCTCAGCAAAAATATTATTTCTTGAATTTCCTTCCCAATTCTTCTGCAGTGTTGATTTCACCCACCCAAACCCTGGGTTGCCGCGGAGGTGGTTTTAAGTCGGGGCGGGTCCCAGGTAGGGATCTGGACGACTCTTGCGTCGGGGCCTTACAGACGTTTCGCCTGCTAATTAATCTCTTTCGATCGGGAAGATTACATGCCATGACTCCGCATGAGTGAAGCGCTTTGACAATTCTCAAATTGCCTCTTACACAAACACCTTTCACGTTTGCGACGTACATCACTAAACTCCCTGGCCTCCATTGTGAACAGGGGGGCTGCTGAACAGGGCTGGGACCAGATATAAAGAGGGCTCTTAGACAGGTTGGGTTTTGCTGGCAGCTCCATGGGACATTTTGAGCCCTGGTTAGAGAACAAATAGGTCCGCAGCCACTGAAACAAAAGACAACTATCCCAGTGAGTCATGCTTTTTATGGGACGCTGGACCCGGTTTCCAGCAGGTGCCGCTCCCCACCAATAGATGGAGCAGCCCAAAAAAAAAAAAAGAAAGATTCAACTATCTGTCACGGTTAGCAGGAATGGAAACCTCTCTCTCTCTCTCTCTCTCTCTCTCTCTCTCTCTCTCTCTCTCTCACACACACACACACACACACACACACACACAAGTGTGGCAGTCGCGAGGTTGGAGACTTAGCTGTTCTTAAATTAATCATTTAAGTTTTCTCAATAATGTAGTTTTTAACTTTTTATTCAGAATTTTTGGTTTTTTTTATTTATTTTTAATTAACACCTTTGTGAGCCATGCAATTGTGACCAAGAGCAACAGATGCTCCTAACTACTTTGCTGTTCTCTTTGTTGGCTTCCTCATCAAACTTAACCCAAAACTTCCTACATTTTTCTATTCTTTCCAGCTGCTGTGCTGTTATTTCCATTGACACTCCTCCCATCTGCTCTGCTCCTGTCTTCATTCTCATTCTAATGGAAAATTTCCTTCTTCAGTGACATACATCCCCCCCATGCCGCGGCGTAGTCGCAGCACGTTTACTTGTTATAAACTATCGCGATAATGGCAAGGCACGGCAGACGGTGGTCGTCATGAGATGGCGTCCAGTGATGCTAAATCACATCGATGATCATGACGCATGCTCCACTGTAAATCCATCCACTGCATTGCAGCATGCAGCATGATATTATGATGGCTTGTTGATGTGTGTTGCCTCTCTCTTCAAGCTACAACTGAACTGGAAAAGGAGGGCAAGAAAAAGAGACGGCAAGCGCAAAGATGTTCACCCCAACGAACAGCTGACTGCCCCATCTTTCTACCTTAAACCACCCGTACTTGGCCCAGCTATCGGCCGCGGAAAGAAATAGAGTAGAAACGTTTCTACCTGGATGAATTGGGGCGCTGGATGAATTCGGGCGCTCCTGTAGTAGCCCGTACGTTTCCTCCTAAAATCGTGGCGTGTTAACGGGCACGACTCTAGGAAGTACTGCAGTGGTTTAACTGGCGCATATCTGTGTCAATTCAGGACCGCCTGAAATCGCAAAAGTGCAAACACTGGTGACGACAGAGGGACAGACCCAGCAAGAAATGATGGCCTCATCTATGTATCAGAGAGGAAGTAAGATGGGGGTGCTGAGCCAGAGACTGAAAACACCCAGTCGCAGAACTCAAAGGGCCGAAACAGAACAGTCCCGACAAGCATGTGCACACATAAAATACCTTAGTTCTCCGCTAGAATCTCGGATTACGGGAAATTTTTGGAGTTCTCGCGTCCCCGAGTTTTGGGGTAGCAAGTGTTAATTACCCCCCCACCAACAAAGAAAAGGGGAGTCGACAAGTTCTTTTTTTTTTTTTTTTTTTTTTTTTGAAGCACCAGCCTTGCACCACTGGGGAGAAGGGAGAAGCAAATGGATTGGCATGTGAATATCGATAATTTGATTTTTAAACCACCAGCACCTTTCCCAGCAATCTTGTTCTGATGCAGCCATTAGCACACAACACCTTTCACCGCTCGCCCGCCAGCCAAAAATAATCCATTTTTTTGCACCCACGCCAGTTTGGCAGGAATCGCTGCATGGCGGAAATCCAGGGTGCGAAAACAACGCTCAGTCGTTGCAAAGCAGCCAACGTACTCACAGAACCCAAGTACAATAATGTTCCTGGTGGTATGATAGAGCATGCAAAGCAGCCAATCTACTCACAGAACCAGAATACAATTCTGTGCTCCCTACTGGGGGGGTCCACCTAGGGAAAGGGAAAGAAAAAAGGAAAGCCAGAGTAACCGTAAGTACAAGGACACCTCTCTATAGTGGATAGAGAGCTACCGTTCATCATGCACAGATGACAGCAATTTCATCGAAACGGACTATTTCTTTTTTTGAACGAAACCGAAACCTCATGAATTGGCCCAATTTAGGTTGAAATATTAAATGGCCACCACTTGGGCCATACATCGGCGGCACGGGGTTGTGATTAACGCCCCACAACTTTTGCAGCCTCTGGCCCGATGATAAATCGCATCAACGGCCCAGAGTGCGCCGCCGGCCTCCGAGAGTCCCGGGGAGGGCCTCACAGTTGACGTATGGGCCAAGTACTGGTGGTTTAAGTTCTTGACGTATGGGCCAAGTACTGGTGGTTTAAGTTCTTTGGGGGGGTCCGGCGTCCGACGTCCTGAAAGTGCCGGACCCCCTGGATGTATCTGGACTTAGCAGGAGTCCAGGGGGTACGGCATTCTGAAAATGCCATACCCCTGGATGTATCTGGACTTAGCTGGCATCCAGGGAGTAGGGCGTTTTCAGAATGCCATACCCTCAGGAGCGTAAAATATCGCCCTAAATCGGGCCAGTTTTTTAGGTCCGAATGTCGTTCAAAAAATAAAATATGTCCGTTTTGACGAAATTGCTGTTGGATGATGTACACTGTACAGTCTGTCTCATGCGATCCCAATCATACCATTACCATTCATCACGCAGTCAGATCCCATCTCTCTAGGGTAAAGGTAGAGATMCCCTWAAACCCGCCAGTACCTTCGAGCCTCTTTTTTCGAAGGTGAATTGCCCCTGCCCACCAAGCTTTGCCGAAACACCATGTCGACGTTTTTCTTTCCCCTTGGGCTGGCAGCGCCAGCTATTTTGGTCTGGTAGGACTGTTTCATCTGAAGTTTTCAGAATGTCACATTTTCGATTCTCCACGTCGCATGGGAAAGGTAGGGGTGGTTTAACAGACCAGACATGATACGATCTCAAGGGTAGATTTGGTAAAATGCCCTCTACCCTAAACATACAACTTCTCTCTCAGGAAGAGATACCTGTGTGTGTGTGTGTGTGTGTGTGTGTGTGTGTGTGTGTG